CCACACGTTCCCAAACCTGCACCCCAACCCCAATGTGACCCCAGAACCTGAAACAAATCCCAAACCTGGACCCCCAACCCCAGTGTGACTGGAGAACCCCAATCCAATCCAAACCATGAACCCCAAATGTGGGTCCCAAACCTGGACCCAAACTCTGAGTCCCAAATGTGTTCCCTAGACCTTGACCCTCAACCCCAGGTCCAACCATGGACACTAATTTCAGACTTCAACCCAATCTCCAGTGGGGCCCCTGACCCTGAACCCCAAATCCAACCATGGACTTCAACCTCGGGTCCAACCCTGGACCCCAACAGCAGATCCCAAACTTAGACCCCAACCCAAACCTGAGTCCCAGCCATGGACGCCCACCCTCAGTTCCAGAGGTGGCCCCTGAGCTTGACCCTCCATCTCAGGTCCCAAACCTGGACCCAATCCTGAATCTTTGGGTCCCAAAGATGGCCCTGGGGGGCGTTAGGTGATTCCACATCACGCCGGACACTTGGGGGTCTGCCCACCAAACCCATAAACACTCATCCCACCCAACCAAACCCCCTCATGCCCAGACTGGGGAGCACCCCTGAGTGCTGGTGGTCCCTAGGGGGGTCCCCCTGCCCCTGTACCGGTCTCCACGTCCTGCACGTAGAAGTGGAGGTCGTCAGTGATCTCGGTGACGAACACAGGTTTGTAGTTGGTCGTGCGCTCCTTCTCCTCCAGCACCTGCACCACCTCCTCCACCGGGGTCTCCTCGTAGTGGGACCACACCTGGGGGCACATGTGGAGTTGGGGACATCCCTCAGGATGGGGACATCCCTTGGGGTGGGGACTTCTCTTGACAAGAGGACATCCTCTGGGTGGGACTGTCTTTTGGGATGGGGCCATATCTCTTTGGGACGGTGCCACCCCTGGGGGAGATGCCACCCCTGGGGGGGTCCCAACCAGCCCCCCTCACCTTCTCCTTCCTCTGCTTGGCTGCATCCTGAGCCGCCAGCAGGGCCTTGCAGTAGGGGCTGCGCTCGGCCGTGAAGTGCACCCGGGACAGCGCCTGCTCCACCAGCGCCACCGACAGGTTCACGCCCTCGATGTGCAGCCACCCGATGAAATTCCCGGCCTTGTCCATGCTCTCCACCTCCACCTCCACCTGTGGGATTCCCGGAATCACCCTGGGCACCACAGCCACAGGCACCTGCCCCAACCGCCTCCTCATCCCGGCGCTCCGAGCTCCGTCCAGGGAGTGGCAGGTGGGTCCCCCTCGGAGGCCTCTCTGCACCCAGTTTGGACCATCAACCCCCCGAGGTGTCACCCCAAAGTGTCCCCCCGAGCAGGTGAGAGATGGAGCACACTGTGGTGGTTTAACCCCCGGCCATGGCCTGTGCTGTGGTTAACTGGGTTTGGCTCCACGGGCAATCCCGGGCACGGAGCGTGTCCCTTCCCTGAGCTCACCATTCCGCCAGAACCGTTCCCGCTGCTTCCCAAAGCCTTGTGGCACCCTGCTGCCCTTCCCCTGTGCCAGCCATAGTACCACCTGGGACAAGCCCCTCGGTCCCCCCACTGTCCCCAGGGGTGCTGGGCTGGTCCCTGGGGTGCAGCACCCACGTACAGCTGAGGCACCTCCCCAGCACTGCACGGTGATGGTCTGGTGACAGCAGTGTCCCCGTGCCAGCCCCCGTGGCAGGGTGACCAGTGAGGGGACGAGCAGGTCATCGATGGGCTCAGGGACAGGATGTGGCCGTGGGGAACAGGGGACAAGGGGTACACGAGGCCACCACGTCCTGCAGCTCGCAGGGGACATCGCTGCCCGTTCTGCAGGCCCCTGGGGACGTGCCACCATCGCAGGGACAGTGACTCCAGGGAGGAAGGACAGGAGGGTCCTGGGGTGTCCCTGGGCGCTGCCACACAGGGTTGTCCCAAGTGACCCCCAGTCCCACCCCCACCGGTGGCACTCTGGTGGCAGCTCCAAGTGCCACCAAGAGCGGGGAGGGGCAATGGGCTGCCCACGGGGGTTGCAGGGGGTCCCCTCCCCACAATCCCAGGGGTTCCACCTGGGGCAGGGGGGACACAAGGCAGAGGTGGGGGTGCAACCCCGAGCCCGGGCCCCTCAAAACCGGTGGTACCCACGTGCCCATCACCTGGCATGGTGCCCCCTCCCCAGCCCACGGCAGAGCTGCACCTGCAGGCCCCCTGCCCCCCTATCCCCACTGCAGAGCAGGGTTTGTGCCCCCCATCAGTGTCACAGCTTGTGTTGGGTCTCAACCCTGAGCCCAGGGGGGAGTCCACAGACCCCTGCTCAGCTGGGGAGTGGGATCCTGGAGCGGGTGCCCATCACCCCAGCACTGTGCCCCCCTCCCAACCTATGGCAGAGTATAGGAGTGGGGAGCCCTCCCTCTGCATAGCCCGGGTTGTGCCCCCATCAGTGTCACAGCTTGGGTCGGGTCTCAGCCCTGAGCCCGGAGGGGGTTAAGGAGGTCCACGGACACTACTCAGCGTGGGGGTTGGATCCACAGCGGGACTTGGGGGGGTTTGGGGGCCTCGAGCCACCGATGGTGCCGCATGCCCCCCCCCCCCCCATCACCTTAAAGCCACCGAGCCCCGAACTGCCTCCGTCCCTCCCTTCGCCCCTCCGTCCGTCCGTCCCCGGCTCCGGGCCCCGGGGAGGGGTCGTTCAGGGCGCCCCCCCCTCCACAGCCCCCGAGCGGGTCTGCGGGGAGGAGGAGGAGGAGGCGGCGGCGGGAGGGAGGAGGAAGAGGAGGAGGAAGCGGCTCATCCCGCATCGCCCTCCCCGCGCACAAAATCGCTCCGGGGCCGCCGCACCGGCCGAACCGAGGCCGGCGGGGGCCCCTCCGGA